GCCCAGAGTTTCTGGAAATCCTTGAAACATACAACATAAGTCACATGTGCTGTAACTATTTTTGGATGTGGAAGAAAATTACCCTTAACCCCCACTACCTCCTTAACCCATGGCCGCAAGGCAGGAACATCTTCGGCAGGCCTGAGCCCGTTCACGAGCGGGAACTTTGTTGGTGTTATTGTCGACATATGATTGAAATAAGGTCCAGTCAGCTTCGGAACTAATCCACTTCTGAGTGCGGGTGATAGAGTATGGTTGAAAATCAGATAGGTGAATAAACAATGGGTAATGATCGCTGTCATAAAGATTATTACTGGAAAACCAAGAAATACGAGTTCCAATCTCGTTGAATGAAAATGTCATATCAATAACACTGCCTTTTGCACATCTAGTTGAAAAATAAGTATCATTGCCCGTATTATGAAGAATAATATTATCATTCTTGTCAAGCCATTCCTCAATGATTATGTCCCTTCGATCTGTACTAGAAAATCCCCACAGTACATTGTGGCCATTAAAATCTCCCATGGTGATAAATGGTTTTGGGAGTTGCTTAACAAAGTCATCGTGTTCAGTGATGTTTATATCTCGGCTATTAGGTAAATATAAGTTACAAATTGTGACAGTGAAGTTCATTTTAATTCTAATTGCAGTTGCTTCCAGTGGCGTTTGAAGAGGAGCATTATGTAAGAAAAATTCTGGTTTAGTATAAATTGCAACGCCACCACGGGCAATGTTGAAATTATTTCTATTACAAAATATAGATCTGTATCCAAACAATGAACCACAATTTTGAAATTTAAAGTTTGTTTCTTGAAAGCATATTATTTTTGGTTTGAATTTGTTAATGAGAAGCTTGATGAATGGTTTTCTTGCAAAAAAAACCATACAATTCCATTGAATAATGTACATTGTAAAAGGCTCTGAACATTAGTTTATTTTATATTCAACTTCACTAAAATGGCAATAATGGAGAAGGTTAATGATCACTACTCTTCTGAATCCTTCTCTAGATACAGAGGATCTCTTTTCACATTCATAAACTAAGCAATCAAGTTTTTTGTAATACTTTGAGGCATTACTTACTTTCACACCCTCCCGGTTCGTAAGAATTGTGAACAGCTCTTAACATTGCTGTTAAAGCTGTAAAATCATCTGTGAATTCTCTGGCAATTGCTACAATACAGTTATTATTTTTCGTTCTGTCAAAGAAACTTTGGAGTTGAAGTATATTTAGTGGGTAGTGGGAATTAGGAGATTCTAAGATTGTTTTAATTTTGGACCACGACTGATCATCAACATTTTCAAAAGAGTTTTTAGCTATTTTCTTAATTTTGGAGGGTTGTTTCATTATTTTTTCTGTAGTTTCAGTAGTTTTCCCTTCCATGTCAGAGGTTTCCGAATTACTGTCAGGGAGTTCATTCTCGCTATCTTGGTTGCTAACCATTTCTGCATTCGAGCTTACAGTAGATAACGGTCACTTTAATCTGACGGGGTGACAGGCAATGTCAACTTCCATTGAGTTTCCTTTCGAGGCAACAAGGTTTTCTCACGGCTGACTCAAAAGGAGGGGGGTGGTAGGTAGCGGGGGGGGTGAAGCTGTCAAGGGCAAGGTTAAGGCTAAAATTTTCATTAACCTTATCGCTTATTCGGGAAGTGTAGGTTCAAATACTTTGGGAGGAACATTAGAATTAAAAATAATCTCATTAGTTGATTCTGTGATTACTACTGCCGTAGGGAGAAGTAGGGTATTAGGTAATTGGGAATTACATGGATTTTGGAAGTTTTTAGCAATATGGGCCTGATTTTAACATAAAAACAAATAGGAACATCAGAGGTTACAAATATTCAGAGGGGGACATCATCTACAAACGCTCGAAATGATTCAGGTAATTTTGTTCATCATCAGGTGAAACAAATGTTTGACGGCGAAAACTGAGGACTGGCTTAATTTGGGGTTATTACATCCAGCACGAAGGAAAGTTAACGGTACTACAGTTCTAACACCTAACAACGCACAATCTGTTGTCCGGTATTTTCAAAGCAAACTTGATAAGAGAGGTTAACTTTGGTAGATAACTTTTCAATAAATTCTACAACTGGCGCACTATTTGCCGAATCTATGATGATAGCATTTTCTTTCTTGGGAAAGAGATTGCATAGTAACTTAAGCATAATTAACTGTAGTCTTACTGTTTTGGTTTCCTGACGATTGATGAACTTGAGAGGACTCCATGATGGTCACGAAAAAAAGAGACTTTTCACTTAGTTATGCAATATCGCTTCACTAAAGAATAACTCCACTTCTACCACGTTTAACGTGTGACTGGCAAGCACCGAGTCAGTGAACGCAAGCACATCGAGATTTTGCCCGGATCGGACGGAGCGTCTGACCACCAAGGCAGTCAGGACGCGACTGGGCTCCAACGTTATCAAGTCGAATATCAATTTCAAACATTTATTTTTTTCTATATAAATTTTGCGTCAAAAATTGGTTGACAAAAATATCGCGGATGCATTACATCTTTCATGTTCTAAACAATTTACTGCCTAATTTTATATGAAGTTTATTACTGTTTTACGGTGTCTAACATTCGGCATATTTTCACTAACCTAGTGTAGTGTGATAATTTCATAGACTTTTTATTGTATTGAGAAAGTTCTATGATATTCCTTGGCATTCCCTTTCATCTGATTATCTACAAATAAAACGCGATTTGGCAAATTGCATTTTAGTAGTTTCCGAATAAATCAATAAATCTGTGTCATTAATTCTGAGCGCAAATGGCCTAAACCAAAACAATCCAACATTAAATGTAGCTTTATAAATAGGATTAAAACGCGTGCATTTAATATAAAATTTCTTGTGTTTTACATTATTTCCTGTATTATTTTACTTTCATGTCCTTTCAAAATGTTGTATGTACTCTCTTACAGCGTACTAATTAGATATTTAAATAATACCCTAATTATTGAGCAAAGTACACTGCTTATGTACATTTTTACGTTACCTTATACTATAAATAATAATTCCTAGTTGAACGTGGCTTTTGGTATTTCAAAAATTTGTTCTTTCCTAATTGCCATTTACTTAAGTTAAAAACAGTTTTAATGTTACTTACATCATAGCCTTCAAATTCACACTTCGAAATTGACATTGAAAACTCAGGTAATTTCCTCATTCATGTTTCTCAACGGGCTCTCATTTTCTTGGATGAAATGGTGATTCCATTTTTATTTACACGTAAAATCGTTGAAACAAGTATCAACGTACTCCAAATTTACTGTCTTCCAGGGCCGCCTTGAGTTGCCATCCGACAGGCCGCCCTGATTGTTGTTAGCAGCCAGAGAACTGCATTAGTCGAGGCGCTTTACCCTTCAGTTTTAGTTTATTTTTCACTTGATTCAGCTAGATATTTTCGTGTGTGTTTTCGACGAACAACGAAAACTACAGTTAGTGCAAGGAGGAGGAGAATTTTCGGATTATATTGAGAATAATGATGGTTACCATTACAACGAACACATCGTGGGTGAGAAGGCAGTGCACTTGACTGAGACCAAACCTTTAACCATTATATATATATGATATATATATATAATATATATTATAATATAATATATTATACTCATGGCCATATATATTCTCTGCGGATACAACGACATCGCATACATTGCATTTACACGAGAGTGCTTTTGCGTAAATATATTAAATGTATAATCTTTTTTGCGCCAGTTCAGTCCATAAACCCTATAGCACATGTTTGTAGATGTTTTCACCGCCTGTTTTAAATATGAATTGTTTAGAAAGACACTTCTGAAAATATGTTTGCCTTTCAGTTCACTCTCGCTTATAAGCGTAATACTGAATAATGATTTCTCTCCAAAATTTGGGATACTTCCTCAAAACCGATATAGTTGTAAACATTAATTTCATTTCATTATCAATGGGGTTTGTTGTAAAGTCACTTTGAATAATATTTAAATCATTAAAAATTTTAAATGTAAAATCAGTGTCTGTCAATTATTCTTAGAAATCACATGATGCTGCCATTATAGCCTCGATGTTAAAACTAGATGTGTGCAGACTAAAACCAGAGAGGGTCGAGCAACTACATTTCGGTACCTTCTTTTTCCATTGATTATTTTTTACTTACAGATGAAATATTTTGCAAGTCAACAAAAAGCATACTACATGGAAAATGAAATTGTAACTTCAATGTAAGAATTAATAAATCCAATTAATTTTATATTTAACCATTTCCAAATGCCAGATTGCTTGGAGAGCTTCTTCCACGTATATCTTTTAACAATTCCCCAAAGTGTCAGGTTTAACTAGTGGTGCTGCATAATGGCACAGTCTTTCTCGAACTAGTTAGTTTCCAATTCATGTACGTTCTCTTGACGCTTGAGTGTCTGCCTGTACTTGCCTGCAACGTCAAGCATCAGTCAGCCGCCCTGTACGTGTCCTCGAAGCCGTGAACGAGGTCTCGTCTGGTAATCATGTTTGCGTCTCTTGGAATGGCCACGTGCGCGAGCGACGTGTGTTGGAGGGCAGGGAGGGTGTGTTACGCCAGAGGAAGGGACAGCTCCTCGCAGGGGCTTCCGTGCCCGGGGCTTCGGGCTTCCTGAGGCCCCGTGGTGAGTCGGCCGCCGACATGCGTGGGGACATGGGCGTCGTGAGAGCTACGCTCTTCTTGCTCAGCGTTACCACGACCCTCATTTTTCTTTGTGCGTACGTCTATCATCTTTTTCGCTACTTTTTCCGCTAGCGGTCAATTTTCTCCGGGTCCTGCCGCTTCGTATTGAATTCGCGCACGATGACCTCGACACTCTCAGCGTGCAATTTAACTTGCCTGGAAGCTAATAATAGTCATTAGTTGGTTCCGTGACTTGGAAATACAAAGAAGAGACGGTTCAAACAACGAAAGCAAAACGAAATGTCATTAATTACATTTAATTATATCTTTGACGCGAAGCACGCGAAACTGGTGCTAGTTTCCACAACGTCCACAGGAGCGGTATAGGTCAGTGATTACCAAGTAGTTCATGTATCCACCGCAGAGATGCGCTGTAATGTTTACTAAGAGAGATTACAGTATGGCGGAAGACAGTGTTAGTAATTTGGAGTTAGAAGCATTAAAAAGAAAAGAGAGATTAAAAGCTTTGAAAAGGAAGCATGATGATGGAACAAAGGAATCTCCGTCGATCGAAGCGAAGACCGATGGAGAAAGCAAACTTCCAAAGTAAGTGAATTTTTATCATTAGTAGGGAAGTGTTCTGTTGAGGTTATGTTTTTGTAAACATTGTATTTTATGTCATTCCATAAGACGAAGCTGTGTCCTTTTTTATTATAACCCTATTTTCACATTCTCAGGCCTAAATTTAGGAGCTACAGGCCCCAGGATGATACCCTGAAGGAAAACGTTCTACCAGACGCCCGACCTGGAGATGTTGAAAGTGAAGTGAAAAATGAGCTTGAATCAGCAAATTCTAGAGTTGTCATTGAAGATTTGGTAAGTAAAAGCTTTTTTAAATTCATTATCAAAACTTGATTAATATTTGAATAAATATGATTCTTTAACTTTCAGGACATAACCAATCTTGCACCTCGAAAACCAGATTGGGACCTGAAACGAGATGTTGCCAAAAAGCTGGAGAGGTTAGAACGTAGGACTCAAAAAGCCATAGCCGAACTTATTAGAGATAGATTGAAAAAAGGACAAGAAGATTTAGTTACTAGTGTAAACATAGGCGCAAGAACTAACCAAGAAGAAGTAGACGATGATGATTAAGCAGTTCAAATTCTACTAATTGTGTTCTCAGAAAACTATTTACAGAGATGAGTGACTTTAAAATCTGTAATAATTGAAAATTTAATTGTTTTGAAAAGAAAAACTTAACTTTTGTTTTTATTAGAGGTATCTTTTATGTTGAAATGTTCTAAAATATTCTTGTCATGATAATTTGTATTTAGGGAATTAAACTGTTGTGTTAGAAAAGTTTTAAATGATTAGTCAGTGATGAATGGCTATTTTTGTTCATAAATGTTTGAAGTATTTCTTTATTAATTGTAAAAATACATTTACTTCACAAAATATATTAAATGGTGTCAAGTGAGAATTGTAAGTTGTAATTGCATGAAATAAAATTTCTTGTTGTCAACAAGAATGAAGGTTTTATCCAAAACTAAAGTTTTAAATAATGTAGTATTTGTTGAAGCGCTAGGAGTATGTAGTGGCGAAGTGGTAGAATTGCTTTGAACACTTAATTTAAAAAGAAAAACGCATCATTTGTTGAAAAAATATTTTATTACATATTATCTTACACAATAAATAAATGTGAGCAAAAAATTAAATTACTTGTGTTGATCAACAGTATATGTAGAAAGCAATTAAATTATTTAATTTTACAAACATAATTGTTTTCATTGCTCACTTATTTGGCATTCACACACAGGAAGACAGTAAATGACATTTTATTTTTCATTTGTTAAAATTTTCAACAATCACACTTTGGCATCTGGTACTAAATCCATTGACATCACAGCCTTGTGTTTTACTTATAAACATGTTTTGATTAACGTGATCTACAATTAATTATGTTAAGGTTCTTTGCAGCCTCAGTGTATTGCATAATACAGCATAGCTTTTCTGCAATATTTTATTGGATCTATTAATAGTTAAGAGGTGTAAATATTACTCCTAGAACTTACTTGTGCCTCTCTAAAAGATATTTACTTCCTTCAAAAATGTATATATACTTTTGTACAATAAATTAGCACTATTACAATTATTTGGTCTTGCTATTTTAATGACATTTATAGAACTCAAACATTGGGAATAACAGTATTATATAAATAAAAAAAGATTTGTCAGGAAGATGATTGACATATATTAGTAGTTGCAAATAAATATTCTTAAAAAATACTCTTTTAATATGGGTTTGTCTTGATGGAGATGGAAGGTCTTTGAAGTGTTCACATTATGGCTTGCTTTGTAGCACCGAATTCTATAAAGGTTACATCAAGAGAACTTGTCGTTGATTGTGATTGAGTGTTAGAATAAGGATAATTTCATTGGTACATTGAAATGATGGTGAGAGACATTAGGAACATCAGATAATTCACAGTGACATATGCAGAACCGTTGTCTTTTTCTACTATTTCTCCCATATTGAAAAGAACCAGCCGACCACTAAGTTCTTGTACAGGTCTGTGGTTATGAGTCATTAATCCTTCAGGTGAATGAAGATTCCTGAATGCTGCAACCTGAAATCACACAGAAAATAGAACATGTCCAATTTGTAATTGTTGGCCAAAAGAATACTTTTCAATCTGGTTTTCATGTAAATTACAAAAGCAAATTATTTTAATTTTCAAAGAATGCTTTCAACTTAAACTCTTTTATATAACAAGTATGTTGCTAAATGTACGTTAGATATTTTATATTTCTAAGTAACAGAATAAGTAATATATAGACAATACATAAGTTTTTCTGAATAATTTTGTTGGTTAAAAAGAACAGTCAGAATTTAACATATCTCTGATGTCCATGCATTACTGTAAAACAACAATTAAAATGTCTGTAAAAGCAGCAAGTGAAAGTATCCACACATTTGCTTCTGGAGTAGTTCTCTTTCAATACATTAAAGGATCATGTTATGATAAAGAAAAATTAAAGATGTTTATTGAAATGATCTGAAAACTTGTGAACTTCTGTTTGCTTTATTTGACACGCACCAATTGAATAAAATACCTTTGTCTCTACTCCTTCTTTAACTAGATACTCTTAATTTCATAATATGTAGTTAACTTTTATCACAATGCAATGTATGTTAAGATATCTTTATTTACCTGTGCTTCAGAGAGCAAAATAGGTTGTTTAAATTCAATCCATGTGACCACTTCCAGGCATGGGGGAGTTGTTAGAGACCCATTGTAAGTGAAGTAATTCATACGATTCTCAGGCAAAAGTGAATCCAATGTAATGGGTTTGTGGAGCCGTGCATTTGTATGTGGTTGAGTAACTTCAGGCAATACATCAACAATTTCATTGTAAACTGTGTTGCCTGGACCATATAACTGCAAATTAATGAACACATTTCATTAATACATTCGAGTATGTGGCATGACACATGACCTATTGCTACAAAACTAATGAACAATCTCTTTATATTTGAATTATAGCAAAAAACTCAAAATTCTTTCTTTAATTGATGCATTAGTGTGTAATTCAATATTAATATCACTTTCTTAATGATTCATGATTTTCAAAAATTAACATTTAATTTCTTTTTTGATGTAGAGATACAAATGTGATTCTTAATAAGATATGTTAGTTACTTTATGTGTGTTATGATACTTCATCTTACAATAAATAGGAAATAATTTTCATCTATCAAAATGGTAACTTTATTTCATGAAATTTCGCAAAGGAAAGTTACATTTCTGTTCAAATTATTAGAAATGTGAATAATAAATAGAGTAAGCCCCAAGAATTTAGTGACAGATACTCTAATGCAATTGTTCAGCTTGGTAGGTAATTATATATCAAAAAATTCTCATTTTGAACAAATATATCAATTATATATTTCAGATACTAACCTCATAAAAGAGTCCAATTACAGTTAACCCATCTCGATATCTCATAGCTTCTTCCATAGACCCATATGATTGTTTATAAAATACCATGTGCAATTCCATGGGGAAACTGCAAATACAAATACATTAAAATTATTATTATTATCATTATGAATTTTTGCTACAATACAGAAAATATATCAAATGCTTAAAGATGTTCTACAATATGATCAAGTGTTTCAAACAATGCACGTAAATAAAATAAATGAGATAGGACTATATCAAAATGTGTTGATAAATTTTAGTCCTTAAAATCAAGTGCCACTTCCAAAAACTACACACTCTTATATTAATTTAGTAATTGTTATAATTACTGAACACACATTAATAAAAAAAAATTAACTAGTGCAATTTAAGTATTGCATTAAAAGTTACTTCAGTTATATGATGAAAATACATAACAAATTTTAAGTTATTCAGGTGAATAAAATCTTCAAACGGTCATGTGCAACAAATTTTTGTCACAGGCTAGTATTATGATAAACAAAATGCGAATGACATTTAGGTATGTATCTATACCACATTTATTTTAATATTTCATGGCACACCTACATATTTTTATAGAGAAATAAAATTAAACCTTTGGTTTTTTATTTCAATAGTATGTAACCAGAAAAAATGTTCAGACAACAACATGAATATATTTATAAAATGTTGATTTATAGTTGGTTGCACTCAAATGAGCTTACAATTGTTAAAACACCTTAAATAGTATTAATTAATGGCAAAACATATCAATGCTTTCCCAATTTCTTCTCAGAATTTGGAAATTTGGATTTGTGGACTAAGAGCCTGAAACAGGCATCGCTCTAATCTCTGAAGGCAAAAGGAGAAGAATTTGGAAATTATTAGGAATTCATCATGGGAAATATTGAGTTCCACCACAGATCTAAATCAGCCTGAGGTTCACCAATTTACTGTTATTACTTTGATTACTGTTAAACTTCTGGGCGAGTTACAACATAATCACGGATTACAATGCAAACAGATTTAGATAATGCAATATAGTTTATAATGATGGTTTTAGGTATTTTTTTCCCTCTGGGACTTTTCCTCTCTGTCAGATAATGGAGAAATATTTATCTTGAACAATTGATAAATGGAAGAATTGAAAAGCTTGAATGCTTACCTGTGGTTATTGACCGTTGCTTCACTACCTACAGAACTGTTGGCTCCCCAGTGGAAATGCAGTTGCTTGAAAATGTACTTTCCATTTAAGGGACCGCCTTCTACAGTTGCTTCCTTTGAGGTATTCAATTCGAGCATAACTGTAAAATAAGTAAAGAATGCATTGTTATGTATGTTGGTTAAAGAGTCTTAAGGTCTGAAATTTACAGTGAATGAACAAACCAGTCAGTTTATATATGTGGGATCCAAAAAGTAGTAATAAATGAAGTTCTCCATGTACTGTCTTTTATCAGACGTTTTCATAAATCAATTAATTTTTTTAAAATTTTGAAATAGTTAAAAATTTAGCTAAAGAGAAATTCTATATACAATACAGTTTTGTAACTGTTTCACTTTATATAAATAAATCAATCTGATAGAATAATAAATTATTTATAATGAGTTAGAGTAATTCTCAGCATTTTCTTATCTATCATTTGCAGTTGATATAAAGTGGTAAGGCAATATAGACATACATGTGCATAACTATTTACATTAGTCATCTTCAAGCTCTGATAAGGATCCATATCAAAACTGGAATCCCAGCTTGTGATGAACAGTTTCAATGATCTAATCACAAAATATGAATTCTTTTACAAAACTACCTAAAAATTATTTTTGTGCCTTAGCCTACTTCATTAGCAAGTCAGAAATTAAATGGAGAATTAATTTAAAATCAGATTTTTTTTTGTAAGTATTTATAAAGGAAAACCGGAATTTGCAAGATTTGTTATTTACTTTCATGTTCATTTACCAAATAATACTATTTACATTCATCATATACAAAGGTACAAATGTGAGAAATAATGTATTATTTGTACATAGTACATCCATATTTCTTGAAAATGTGCTGTGATCTCTACATCTGTCCTTTACCTTATCTTTACTGCAGGAATGTGCACGAGCAAAGAAATGACCCAATTCTATACCCTAGCCATCCAGACAATGGAGGAATACGCCCTGGTGGTGAAGTCAGATATCTCTTCGATCCCTCTAGCTCCTTGTTGGGAATTCCAAGTTTGCTTGAGACAGCGTTCGAGGTTTCCTGTCGCTATACTTCTTACGTGCATGATAAATTATATATAATATTCTCGCTAGTGTAAGGTACTGTTTACCCCGTTTTACTTCACATTAGTACCAATTTAATTTACAGTAGCAGAATTACTTGAGACATTCAGCGTAATATTTGTATCGTCCAGGGACAGATAGCATTATTATTTAGTTAAGTGTATTACACATTTCAGTTCATAACGAAGACAAATTCAAAAGTGACAAACGTGGAGAAGTGTTTCTTTATTTTTTGGTGACACGATATTAATTAAATATTTTAATTAATTAAGAATACTACAATATTAGCCCGGTTCTTACACTAAACTCCATATTCCCTTGTTGTGGAGAAAGAACATTTTAATTTAATTTAACGTAAAAAAGTTGAAAACTGTGTGACGTACTATGAGGAGAAGTCCACGGATGCTTGAGCTCTGCGATCCTTACCCGAAGCCCGTATGCTTAAGACCTTATACTTTTAGTGTTAGTTAAGTAGTATAGGAGTTGAACCATAAACTGCTGTCACTCTTTTGCATTGTCATGTCACACAGTCGTTGTCTTTAATACGACCGCTAGCCGATAACGTACCGTCCGACCGTCCTTCCCGAGAAACTTCACCTTACGCGACGGCGACAATCTGGCCACCCCTGAGGACGCCACCGCCGCGGCAACGGCCTGAGATCACTGCCGTCCGAAGGCGAGGCTGACAGTCCGTAGCTCGCGACCGCGCGCGCGCTCGAGCCTTTTCGCTGCAGAAATATCCCGGGGAACGGAGTGAAGGGTAGGAGCCGCTCCCTTCTCGCGCCGGGAAGACGGGAGAAAGAGGCGTGTCAGCGTATGGCTACGGCCAAGTGACCCCAAACACACATGTCAATATTTTTATTGATGTGACAGACGGAATGTTTAAATAACATCCGTTACCGTTTTGTTGAGACATTTCGCTAGGTGCGACAGGAGCCAGGATTTTGGTTATTTCCACATCAGTACTATTACATTAAATTATTATTATTATTATTATTATTATTATTATTATTATTATTATATTCGACTATTACGTCATCTGTAGCTCGTTCTTTCATGCAAATGGTTTCTAATACACGGTAGCGAATATTTCTCGTTATCAGATTTTTTAACAACGCTCGTTGCTATCATTTACACTTTATTCAACTAATGTTTATAAAGAGTATGGATTTCAGGTTGCAAGAAAACTTACCCACATATTTTATATTATCGTATTTTTTTTAATACAGTCGTTTCTATACGTATTTGAAACTTCATTTATTGGTCGTTTTCACAAAAAAACTCATCACTTTCTTACTCTCTCCCCACTCCTCGCCGCACTCAAATTAATGCCGAAAAAATATATCAAATATTCCCAATAAGAGAAAATCTATTCAAAAGAAAAGAAATCCTTGTTCTTTTTAAGTATGTTTTATGTCTGAAACTTGCAAGTAAGAAGGAACTTTATAAAAGTGAAAATGAATTTCATTGGAGGGTTCAAGAGAAAGCATCTCTTCATACTTCTAACCAGTAGGTATACGCACTTACATACCGTTAAGATCACTACAAAAAGATTTTGTAGCCATGAAATATTTTTTAAAAATCAAATTCGTCAAGATATTAATGATTGGCAATGCCCAATAACCGTCTTTGGCGACAGTCATTGTGGACCCGATTTCGGGGGAAATCTCGATCGGCCGACGTCGGACTTTTTCGTCCGAAGTGCCGAATTCGTTCAGATAGTTAGTAAACGCAAATGGTCAAAGTGAACAACCTCTTCAGACTAGGGACGTAAACATTGGTGGTCGAACGGAGGTTTGTTTCGTTCGGCTTTGCCCGTGTGTCGTCGACCGACAGACGTCGACCGAAATTTGGCTCCAATGGGCTCCACCGTGTCCGCCGCCAAGACCGCGCGCGTGGGCCACTGCAGGTCGCCGCCGTCGCCGTCGTCGGCGTCGGCGTCGTCAGCGTCCAGCAGAGCAGCGCGTCCTTCGCGCGGAAGATTTATGACCAAAAAAGACATTCGTCTCTATTATATCCGCATCTTTCGCTTCCAATGGGCTCGTGCAGAATTGTTTATGGTCGCAGCGGCGCGAGGGCTGTGGTGTTGCTACGCCTATGCGTTGCGTGGGTGCGAGTTTAATGCTTTCCATTTACGCTCACGCAGAACGCCCTATTTTCCACTACCCCACTTTAGGGAAATTGCTTGTGAGTAGTCGGCGACTAGTTTTCTAATGATATGTATTCTGAACCTGTTAGAGTCCAGTAAAGAGTTTTCTTTTTGAAGATAAGTAGTATCGTGTAATGCAAATCAGAATGAATGCAGTCTTGGCGTCAATACCAGTACACTTGTGGTTGGTGCAAAATTATTTCGTAATTTAGGTAATGTAGTATTTAATGCCCTGCTTGTGACAAAATCAACATTCGCGATGGTTATATTCTGATAGCTTGAGTTGGCGAAGTTTAGGATACCTTTTTTATTTCAAAACTGAACTTATTCCAAAGAAATAAACGTAGTGAATAATCTTGCGGTTCTTCCAAACTCTTACGATAACAGAATATCTGTGGGGCCTACTTCCTGTAAGGAAGTGCTCCGTAAGTATGTTGCAATGTATGAATGAATGTATGTATGTATGAATTCTAAGATAGTTTAGATTGAACATGGCCTACCCAAAAATTAGCATGCATGCTTTCTCGATTGGCTTGTATGAGAGAGGCTGATGTCAATACAAGTGTCACAAATAGCACACATACCACATGTAACATATTGCATTACATGCATTTTTTGTGATAAGGACGCAGTACTATTTCAAAAAAGTTATGCGAAATGCATTTAATTTCGATTATCGATTCCACGTGTAGTTTTATTTAAACACTATTTTACGTTTGAACTTCATTTTTGGACACATTCAACATTATTAATTGCACTTTTTATGAATTCATTTGGATTTATTGCTTATTAATGTCAAGTCGTTTGACAATAGATTGCGGATTTTATGCACGAGCCATCATAAACCGCACAGCTCTCTTTCATCAGCGCTCACCTCATGCGTTTTGCATGCAATTTCATGAAGCGCACGTGCACGTTCACATAAGCGCACTCACGCACCCTGTGCGTTAAACGTTCTCTCCGAAGTGACACGTACCGACGAAAGAGTCCAACTCGTCTAAATGGCATTTCTTGTCTGCTCAGAGAATCTTATCAGTTGTGTGCGTGTGCTCACGTGCGTGAGAGGCCCTACGTGCATGTGCTTGTTGTACGTGCGTGTGCGCACCAGGGCGAGCGTGTATTAAATTATTCATACTCTTGCTAACGTAGAATCGAGATGGTATCTGCATTTAGTCTGATTTCGCTCACTTGGATACTGTGCAGTCACAACTGCTTAATTTGTCGTATCGTACTGGACGCATTACGTAGCAGGGAATGTTGAGGTTTAAATCGTTGAAGGAAGTTATAAGTCCATGTGGCACGAAGTTTTGTACCAGGAATCTCCTTCAACATTATTTACCGTCGATGGGCATTTTAAATATTCATTCTGCACATCAACTGTGTTACATTAGGGGCTCATCCAGTATCGATTTTAGTTAATGAAACGTACAGAAATGAGTCATGTAACTTTCACATTATGTGTTTATCTGCCTTATGGCAATGGCACAGTGAGTGTTCGTAATAATTGCAATAGTATGCGTTTCGTGACCGATTCGTCCAGTATGGAGCGGTACAGTAAATTACGTGTAGGGGTTCATGGAAAAAGGGCATTCTATGCATCTTGGAATGTGCCTGTATATGGGGAGCAAGGCAACGGAATGAATTACGATTAACATCCATAGCAAAATATATAAAATTCTCACTAACGTCAAGTATTGGACAGTCGTTAAATTTACAAATTCGTAAATATCTCCTTAGTTTTCGCAAATTGATACTGACAATAATGTTGTAATAATATATTTTAAATGCCTTCGAGTACCTCTTTAAGAAAAAAACAAGCCTCATTAATTTATATTTAAACCATCTTGAGAGCATTTCTTGAGAATTTCGTATTTTTTCCACCTCATTAGTTATGGCTTATGTAACCTGCGGAGATTGAAGAGATGCAGTACATTTTTGTGTTCCTCAGGTCGCGACTGCGGGAAGAGAAGCGAATTATTTGCGTGAAATGACATTTCCTCGGAAGAGAAGAGTTTCGCCTTCAGAGAGAGCTGCACCTCTTCCATGCCGACTTGTCTTGTCCCTTTCTCTTTCTCTCACCCCCGTCTCTTTGTTTCCTTCCCTGCCTCTTTCTCTCTCTCTCTCTCTCTCTCTGTCTCTCTCTGTCTCTCTCTGTCTATCTCTCTGTCTCTCTCTCTCTGTCTCTCTCTCCCCCAGTGTTTCGCCCCCTCTGGATTTGCATCCTAATTCGACACGGAGTGTAAAAAATTTGTAATGGGTCGATCGTAAATAACATCCTTTTTAACTTTTCGTTGATTTTTCTCGACTAGTCGGTCCCCGCATTTTCATCCCTTTCTCTCGCCTGTATTGTTCCGTTGCTGGATTGCGGACCTGTTGAACTCCACAATAAATCATCGATTCGAGATAATTAACCTTCTTGAGGAAGCGGCTCGGTCCGCGCGGGGGGGGGGAGGGAAGGGGCGAGGGGAGGGGCAGATTTTCATTACGTGCGAGGACGTTCCCCGCCGCCCCTCGGCGCGCTTTAAAATCCTGGGTGGAGGGGGCGGAGGGGCGGAGGGGGGCGGGGGGCGGAGCGGCCGCTGGGAAGCCGCCAGGGCCACGTTGCAACGTTCAGTCGATGCGCTGCCCATCGCCGCAACACTGGCTGGCTCGGGGTGATCGGAAGCTCGTCGTTTCTCTCCATTGATTTTATTATTTATCATGTATTTATTTATCATGTATGTATTTATTTATCATATATTTATTTATTTATCATGTATTTATTTATTTATTTAAAATTACACCTACTGCTGAGGTCATTAGAGACTAATTTTACGTATAGTTACCGTAAAAAAGAAGAGTACAGGCGTGATTGAGCTTAGACTATTTCATTTTATAAATATCATCCAATATTCAATAGTTCTTTGAACAAAAATCAACAGCACAGTTTGAACAAATAACAAGCCTTTATATTCTATAGCAACATGTCGGCAGGCTATTTCTTATAGTGAATTACGAGGTTAATAAAAAACAATGATTATTGAATCATATATATTTGTACAATTCGTCAATTCTTTCTTTTCCGTCCTTTTCTGTATTTACAAAAAAATAATGGCGATCATTTACTCACCGGGCCTTAAAATCGAAATAACAACACTACCAGGAGGAAACGTGACAAAAGTGCCGAAGGTGTGAAGGTGGAATCCACAAACCGGTCATAATGTATTAACTTTAAGGCTGGATTAATATCTTAATATGTCCTTTACGTTAAGTGTGAGCTAGTTCAGGGGCCCTACATATAATACTGAAATACTGAACATACATTATCAAAATTAACTGAAATAAACTATAACTTTTAGAATTTAAATATTTGATATTGATATGTAAATATATTTACAAAGTATGAAATAATATCAAATATTGTTCACAACTTTATTGGCAGCCTATATCTAATGGGGGTCCTGAGGACGTGTTTAGCCTGCTCACGTATTCATCCAAACCTGATCCATTCAATATCTACTGCGACTCGAAGAATTATTTAGTGCCGTTGGTCTGAACGAAGCTTAACGCCAATATTTGCCCATGCACACATGTCTATAATGCACATGCACACGTGGCCATTTACTCTACGTTGCAAAGTTCAGATATGTAGTTCGGGCGTACACGCACAAAGTAAACAATCCTACTCTTCGATGTTTAGGAAAGATCTCTTATCAACAGGAAGCTCAGGAATTTTTGAGAGAGTGACTGCGATTTAAGCGATGAGACTCCTTTAAGTGATGTGTTTTTTTGTTGATGATTTTTCCCAAGTGAAAAAAGAGACCGTTATTCTCTGTGCTTCGAAAAACGAAGAAAATATGTAGTACAAGCACTTAATCCTCCGAATTTAACTCCATTTGTTTTCTTGGATGTTCGAAATGAGACACAATTTGAATGTTCACTTACTTTTACAAAATATTTCTTTTGACCTACTATTTTAACATTTACAGTACGATCAGTAAGTTACATACGTGTTATGTGTTTACGGCAAATAGAAAATTTCTTTCCTTTAATGATACGTGGGAATAATAATAGTTTTCCAGATTAGAAAGATTATGCTCTGGACGGAGCAAATTTGAACTCAATGAAGTATTTCAGAATCACCATTGGTGAAACTGTAAGGTACGATTGCTCAATAGTTAAAGTGCGTATATGGTAACTAGTTTAAACCTTGTTATGCTTGTGAGTTTAGTATTTATTTTTTCATTAAACCATGTATATTCTGTACGTAGACTGAATTCGTAAAAGCACTCTGAAGATGTGTGCAAATAATCTACATAACAAAATTCGGATTGCGTTAACGGCCGTTAGCAAGTAAAATATGGTATTGATACATTGCTGCTTTGACGAATAAACGCCGACCAGAAAAATGCTTTCGTTTTCATAAATGGAATCCTTTTGCAATTTTCTGGGTAACGATGGACATTCAATGCAATATAAAACTTCATTCATCACACATCTATGACTTCCTCGTGGCGCAAACGGAAGGGGTGATCTGCATATATTACCAAGAGATTGAGAAAAAGCAGCAGTGTGTGATTTGAATGTCTCATACTTCCTCCGTTCGAGGTGGGGATTATAGGAAGTTGTGCCATTTCGTTAACCTGGAAACGAGTTACATTGCATCGTGAATGTCATCGAATGATGCAACGACTTGTAATTTCCCGCCTCTCTGTTATTGAGGCGGCATCGCGTAAATAGGGCAAAGACACAGTAGTGGCGAATTCAGGCACAGAAATTGAAAAATAAAAATTGGACGGTTCATACTTCCAACTTCCGGAACGTGGAACTTATACCTTCTAACAGTAAGGAGTTAAATAAACATAATTTATTTTCTCAAGTTTTTATTTAAAGAATAAGTGAAAAATATTTATATTTTTTTAATATTGGTATTGCAATAATGTAACATTATCTGATATTTTTTGGACTTGGTTTCTCTTGGAATCAACGAGGAAGAATTTGGAGTGACCATTACTGGGTCGAGTATCGATCGTTACAAAAATCCCAATATTCAAGTGGCTTCTATATTGGATCAAAATGCGAGTTTGAAAGTAAATTATTTAGTCAACTTGTGACTTGACAAGGTGCGGGCTGAGATAAAGAGAGAAAAATAAGTAAAATGGCAATATTTCGACGACTTCTTAATTATCATCGTTTTCAACTTAATGAAGTCTTCATACTAATGAGTCATATGTTTATAACTTGCACTACACTTACGAGACTGATGACTATAGGACGCGCCCGAAAATATAAATATCTATCAAATATGATGGCAATTCGATAATTGTATTATATTTGCCCAAAGAAAATAACAACGTAGATTAGATATGCTGCCAAATTTTGTATATCGACAAATCGAAGTTTTGTGAATTGAAAATTTCAAGTTTTGTTTGTAAAATTTATAGATCGTAAGTAAATTTTGTAAAATTTGTAGATCGAATGCGAGTAGATAGCATCTAATTTCATTTTTATTTTAATGGACATTTTATGTGTTATTTGAACTAATTAATTTAATGTTAGTTGATCTTTGATATTAGTTAAATGAAAAATCATTGGTATACATAATGTAATGAAATAATGACCAAAGAACAAAAAGAGTTAGCGGCCAGCCCCGATATCTGAGCAAGTTCAACTCCTCTGTTTGGTGAATAGATTCTGAGTTCGTCGCACCTGGAATGTCTCGTGTATTTCGTGAGTATTTTGTTGCGGTGAGCCTCGCGCTCTGCTGACTACAAACCCGAACAACTCGTATCTGAACGGATCAATATTTATTTATTATAGGGGCCTTAGCCAACTACAAATATATAGCACCATTTACTTAGTCGTGCACTTGACGTAAAACATTTGTTGCGGTTTCATGCAATTGTGAACTTGTATATGTCGCTAGAGTGACGTTACTATGGAGACGTTCACACTCCAGATTGGATAAAACCGTGAACGGCGGATTTAAGTGTATGGTTAAATAAATCGTAGTATAACTGAGGTTCCTGAGTGATAATCTGACGAGTGGATAATAGCGATAATGCTGATGAGCCGAATGATGATGGCAGACTGAGAGGCAGGGGGAACGGGAAAATTCCGAGGGCTCACTCTGAACATCACATACGAGTATTCCACATGGAGCGGCGGGGAATCGAACCCGTATCCCTACGATGGAAGGAGCATTACTTCCTCAGTCCCCACCACTCATTCCCCCCACCGTATGGTTCAAGAAATACCCCTTAGAGTGAAAAGGATGGGGAAAGTCCTAATTAGTTAACATTCACGAAAACGGTACATTCTACCATTCAAAAAATTGCGTCTCCCTGAATCGTACGGTATGCGCAGTTAAAAACCACTTGTCATCGGCTTGGTGAACAGCCCGTTGGGCGCATCGGGCCCGGCACGCAGCCACTCACCGGTGTGGCCGTTGTTGTAGAGGGTGCTGGTGACGGGCTGCGCGTCGAGGCCGCCGAAGCGCAGGCGCGGCAGCGTCACGTGGCGCAGCAGGTGCTCCTCGATGTCGATGGGGCTCTGGTACTTGCCCGCACACTGCGCGTAAGCCTCCGACCAGTGCGACGGCCCTGCGGACACAGCGCACACCCACTGCATTGGTAAATACAATAAAAGTGCGAATGCGTGCGAGAATGACAGAAACAAAAAGAAAAATTTAAAGAACTCAAAATTATATATAAAAAAAAGAACCATTGCAGTATACCAGAGCCATGATATTGTAACAAGTCCCCTTTTATACATGAAAAAGAACAGTTTCAGAATACCAGATCCATGATACTGTGACAAGTTCCTTTCTCTCTCTCTTTTTTTTTATTCCCAAAAGATAAATAAATTTCCCGTCTCTCCACGGCAACTGGAGAGGGGAAAATCGAGAAAAAAAATCCAGTGGACACTGCAAAAGCATTTTTTGTATACCAGCATTTAAAAAGACCATTCCTCTTGCAAGAAATCAGTCAAGAATACGGCATAAATGATGACGTATTGGCATTGTACGGCACGAACGATTGTGTCTTCACCCGTTCAGCCAATCGTAGAGAGAGAATTGTGGTGAGGTAGCAGTGAACGGAACGGCAGACCACCGTTTTCTCGCACTGACGTAAAATATTCGAGACGTCACAAGAAAGTTGTTTCGCAAAGTTTGCTTCTCTTATAAATTTATAATGCTGTTATACAAAAAATGGCGTATGCAACTCGTTTATAATGTTGCTTTATTGCATTCGTACAAATTTAAAAACTCGCTCCTAACGGCGCTTGTTTTCAAAACATGTACTAATGTAATAAAGCTTGACATTGTAAACTAATTGCATAAACTACTATTACTACTTACAAATCTACATTATCGACAGCGTATAAGCGACTCTGACATTTCAATGCGGTGTTGCCACACATTACTACGCACATTGCACCATCTACCTGGCAGATAAATGAAATATCATAGCCGTAACATTGACAGGCTACGACCCGTCTTGATATCATATTCATTACTTTCGCCAAAGTCGAACCTTATCGCCTCCGCAACTGCGTATGAGTTAGATGAGCGGCAAAGCTGAACCCTGGCTGTGAGAAAGTAAACAAATCCTCGCAAGCTGATTGCTTCACGTGAGGTCACGTGGCGTAGTACCGCAGCACGTGGCGAGTCAGAGTCGCTTACGAAATCGGTACTATAAAGTCCCTACTCAACTACTTTATACGTTCACTCTTCACATGTTGGACTTATAGTTTTATCATGTTGGATGTTTTCCTTCAGGAATGGATAAGATGTTAAGACAATCGTTCATTGGGGGATTGTCAGTTAAACTTAGGGCAAATAGTGTGTTTGCATGGCGAAAGCTGTACTTCCAAGTACAGTTTCAAAGATTTCATCAGATGGAATAATCAAGAAGGAATATGCTACCAGTAGTGACTTGTTTTAGTACCAATGTAAGAATTAGGTCAGCAAAAGTGACTATCTACGAACGGAAAAGGCCAATGATACAACTGATTATAAAAATTTAAAAATACAAGTAAAAACGGAACATGGTTTTCTTAAGAAGTGTAACTTTGTCAGACGGAATTTATACATTAATGAAATTTATGTGCACGAATGATAGATAACATTGGGTTTCATTTGCTGAGAGATCGAATAATTTAAGGGGGGCTAAGTTTGATTTCAATTGTAAGTTCGTTTATTTTTTGTCAAAAAAAGATTTCGATTGGTTGTACTATTCGGGAAGTAGTACGTTTAGACACGGAGGATAAAAAATCGAAGTAGAAATGTCCAACCGAGACATCCGCGAATTTAAAAGTTCGTTATCTTCAATGTATTAGGTTCAGGAATTTATATTTTCAATAATTTCTTTCTGTCATTAATCTGTTTTGTAAATATATCAATGTCAAAATTGAAAAACTACTCAGTTTGTCAATAAATGTTATAAATATTCGATTGAAAAGTACTGATTTACTTGATAATTAAATCCCGCAAATAAATAATTTTATATATAATAAATTTTCAGTATACCCGATCTGTACTAGATGAGTCACCGACTCAAGTAAGGATTATTCAAGAGCGTAAGTATTTAAGGAGTCCGACATCCAAAGGAATTATTGCAAAAAATGAACATTATTGAGGAAATCTACTTGATATTGCTTGTATAAATGCACACACAATTTTAAGGCCCACTTAAAGCTAAAAATAATAAGCAGTAATATTATAAAAATCAAAATTCACACAATGGTGTATAATAGACTGAATTTTAATGATCATTATTTTACTAGGGAACTGATAAATTCTTTACACATTTCAGAGAATTCATCTTAATTCAATTATTAAAATCACAATTACATAGCTAATTTAATTCGTTACATCTCATATATGAAGGTTACCAGCCTGCCTGATGAATGCGGGATCATCCCAAAATGTTACGAATTATTTTACTGAAACTCCCTGTAAAACAGCTTGGTTTAACAGGAAAAATAAAGATTTGAAGAAAAAAGTATTCACTTCAATTATATTTGTATAACATTTTATGAACTTCAAGGTTTATGTCCACGGTCAATTTACTCACCGTTCTCGAAGTATACGCGAAAAACTGAGAGGGTACACTTAAATGTCGATAAGATTGGAACAAAACGGAGGAAATAATAATTTGAAAAAGGTAGTGAAAGCTTTGCCCGACAAAACGTTACCTTTCAGTGAAAACCGCATTGAAATTGGTTCATTCAGAGACAGACACACAAAAATCGTGTAACCATTTAATTAGTTTTTAAATCACCCAAATAAGCGGCACAAAAATACAGTTATTTTGAAAATACTATCAGGCATTCCAATTTTAATTATATAAATTCTGTGAAATGAGAATACGGAGGAGGGGGAGAAGTTTAACACACTAGGAGTGGTTTTGTTTCTGCTTCTGGGAATAGAGAAGAGTTCAACTGTTTCGGGGAATAGAGAATAACGAACAGAAAATAACACCAACGCGATTGTAGTGTGGCCAATAATTACATAAAAAAACTAATGTTGCTAGAGAATGGCACAGACTTTCCAATATTAGTTTTCCATTTCCTTTCGTCTCGGCTATTCGTACTTGCCAGTTGCCATCTATCACCGCCCAAAGTACAAAGAACGAAGAGCCAGATGGACAGGGAAATTTGGAAAAATTCCTACCTATAATGTAGACCATGAAAGTGGTTACAGACGGATGTTTTGAAAAAAAAACACGTTTCGTATCAGCGGATTAAATATGTGGTTCATTAAAGTTTTGGAAATATATTTACTTGTGCAATGTAATTGAATTTTCCTCACTATTCAAGAGAGATTATTGTCAAATGGCCGCCTTGCTAAAGATGAGGCGTCAAAAATATTTATATTGGCGCAAGAAATATTCAACAATTTGAGTTAACATTTATAACGTCCAGAATGTCAATAAGTAGTAACTGTACGATAATTTTTCTACTGTTTTATTTAATTCGGTTTTGGTGTCTACATTTCTTTGAGCATCTATTTGTCTTTAGAGTTACGATTTAAAATCGAACAATGTTTCGTAAAGGCATTTCCACTCACACTAATCTAAAAGGTTCATTTATTAGAGAGCTTTGATGTATAGTGATTAGTCTCGTAAATTCAGTGTATGTTAAATTGCAGGAAATGGGAGTCTTCTTACCAACAATGATCCTTCTTAAGCCAACCGTGATCCTAGTAAGCAAACTATGATACTTGTTAAGCCAACCATAATCCATAAGTCGAAGATCAACCCAGCAATCGATAAAGTGAGAGATCGACCCATCAAGTCGTTCAAGTGAGGGATCGACCCAGCAAGTCGATCAAGTAGAAGATTGACCCAGCAAGTCGATCAAGTGGGTGATCGACCCAGCAAGTCGATCAAGTGGGGGATCGACCCAGCAAGTCGATCAAGTGGGTGATCGACCCAGCAAGTCCATCAAGTAGGCGATCGACCTAGCAAGTCGATCCAATAGGGGAATGACCTTGCAAGTCGATCAAGTGGGGGATCGACCCAGCAAGTCAATCCAGTGGGGGATCGACCCAGCAAGTCGATTAAGTGGGGGATCGGTCCAGCAAGTCGGTCAAGTGGGGGATCGACCCAGCAAGTCGAGCATGTGGGGGATCGACACAGCAAGTCGATCACGTGGGTGATCGACCCAGCAAGTCGCTCAAGTGGGCATGTTGATCCAGCAAATCGATCAAGTGGTGGATCGAAACAGTAAGTCGATCAAGTAGGGGATCGACCCAGCAAGTCGATCAAGTGGGGGATAGATTCAGCAAGTCGATCAAGTGAGAGATCGACCCAGCAAATCGATCAAGTGGGGGATCGACCCAGCAAGTCAATCATATGGGGGATCGACCCAGCAAGTCGATCATGTGAGGGATCGACCCAGCACGTCGCTCAAGTGAGGGATCGACCCAGCAATCGATCAAGGTGGGAATCGACCCAGTAAGTCGATCAAGTGGGGGATCGATCCAGCAAGTCGATCACGTGGGTGATCGACCCACCAAGTCGATCAAGTGAGGGATCGTCCCAGCTAGTCGGTCAAGTGGGGAATCGACTCAGCAAGTCGATCGAGTGGGGGATTGACCCAGCAAGTCGATCAAGTGGGTGATCGACCCAGCAAGTCGATCAAGTGGGGGATCGACCCAGCAAGTCGAGCAAGTGGGGGATCGACCCAGCAAGTCGACCATGTGGGGGATCGACCCAGCAAGTCGATCAAGTGGGGGATCGACCCAATAAGTCGAGCAAGTGGGGGATCGACCCAGGAAGTCAATCAAGTGAAGGATCGACCCAGCAAGACGATCAAGTGAAGGATCGACCCAGCAAGTCGATCAAATGAGGGATTGACCCAGCAAGTCGATCAAGAGAGGGATCGACACATCAAGTCGATCAAGTGAGGGATCGACCCAGCAAGTCGATCAGGTGGGGGTGTCGATTCAGCAAGTCGATCAAGTGGGCGATCGACCTAGCAAGTCTATCAATAAGGGGATCAACCCAGCAAGTCGGTGAAGTAG